GACAAAAATAGCATCCACAAATAGGAATCACTGGTATTAAATTAGACAAGCAGCATATAAGGAAATGAACTTTATTTCTAAAGCGTTTTTACACAGAGAATGTGGTCCAGTGTTACAGCTGGTGGCTAGAGGAAGACCTAGGACTAGATCAATGGTTCCCCCAGTGAGGTCCACGGACCAGCCATTTTGAAAGTGGGGCCGTGGCTCATGGCTCAGCCCCCACTATAGCAGGGAGTCCACACTGGTGCTCCAACCTGCACACACACCCCACAAGGTTGGAGTGCCACCATGTTTCCCGCTGTGGCGGGAGAGAGCCCTGAACCTCAAGGGCAGGATTCAGCTTGCAGGGGAAACAAGCAGCTCCGTGTGCTGCTGCTCCCCTTTGTTGTCATTCCCCCAATCCGGGGAGGGGAAGTGCTGCCTGGAGGCTTTTCCTGATGCTTCTATAGGCTGGCATTATGGCCAATGGGAGCAGCCAGAGGTGGTGCATGGGAGCAGGGAGTGTGTGCAAAGCCAGGTAAGTGCCCCCAGCCACCTCATACACACACCCTCATGTACCCCATCCTGCCAAGAACCCACATCCCCACCATGCTCTGGCACCTTCCCTCCTTGCCAGGCAGCTCACCCCCAGCTCGTCTGTGCACCTTCCCTCCCAGAACCCCAACTCCCAGCTCTCTCCAGCTCCCTACATCCCACACAGACCATGCATCCTCACCTCTCTTGAACCCACATTCCTGGCCAGATCCCACACCCTGGCAGCCACCACCAATACACTGAACCCTTCATTTTTGGCTCCACCCCAGAGCTTTGGAGGTGGGCACAAAATCTACTAACCCTGGGACACCAGAAGAATTAGTTTGTCCTGTGGGAAGCCCTGAAACTTGGCCCTTCCTGTCACCTCCACTCCCCCATGGATCAGGAGCATCAGGGGAGTGAGGTGTCTCAATTGGGCACCACATCAATAAGGGTTGGTGCAGTTTTTTTTTTGGTGGTTGTGGGAGGGGACTTTGCTTTTCACTTTTGTGTGGCTCTCCCAACTGAATTTGGATTCAAGCTTCTGTAGTCATATCAAGTATTATTTTTTGTTATACAAAAGAAATGCCAGATTATCAACAGAGTTAAATCAACTAGAGAACAGAAAACACTGAGCCTGGATCTGGAGCTGAATGCTAATTCTGTAGTCAAGGGGTGAGGAACCCCTTTGAGAAGCAGACAAAATTGAGAAGCAGAAAATACCCGCACTGATGTGGCCCCTAAATGAGAAGCAGAAAGACACTGCTCATATTCCCCTTGCACACCAGAGCATCAGGGGCCTGAGGTAGTAGATCCCCCCCCCCCGGCTCTGGGGTGGGGCAAAAATAAAGAGTTCAGAGTGTGGGGCTTGGGCTGAGGGAGCTGAGGTCTGGGTGAGAGGGTGCAGGAGTGGGCTGAGGTTAAGGATTCTGGACGAGAGGTAAGGGGCAAGAGTGAAGTGAGGGTGAGGAGTCTGGATGGGAGATAGGATGCAGGAGCAGGCTAGGAGTGGAAGGGCTGTGTGGGAGAAAGGGTTCAGGAGTGGGCTGGGAATGAGGGGTCTGGGAAGGAAGTAGGGTGTAGGAGCAAAGTGGGGTGCAAGATCTGGGTAGTAGAGTGCAGAAATGGGGTTCTGGACAGCAGGGGATGCAGGAGCAGGGTGGGAGTGCAGGGTCTGGGTGGTGGGTGAGGAGGCTGCTTACCTGGTGCAGCTCCCCAGGGATTCACATGGCACTATATCCCCCTCCACACACTTCCACGTACCCTTTCTACCCTGCACTCCTGCTCCTATTCGTCTGTGAATATGAACAAAAGGAGCAGCGGGAGAAAAGCCTTCAGGCAGCAGAAGGAAGAGTGGCAGGATGCAGAGCAGCCTCCTTCTCCTGCTACACAGAGTCTGTGGGTTAGATCTGGCCCCAGCTTGCCTCAGGTTTCCGTCCCCTCCCCCCGCTCATATGCTCCAGCCCCGTAGGGGGGCGAGCACAGGTCTGGAGCACCATTGTGGACTCTCCAATTCTGAGGGTAGCCCTGAGCCTTGGTGGCCAGATCCAGGCCAACCGGGGGCCAAATCCAGCCCCTTGGCCATAGGTGCTCCACCCCTGCTCTACACAGAGAGCTAGCTGTGAAAAATCCAAGGATTAGTGTTGTGCTTGGGATGTGATATGCAAATGAGGGGCTCAAGAGCTAGTCTGGGCTCAGTCAGGCTATCCCTGCCACACCTGCAAAGACCTGGTTAAAAGGGAAGCAGAAAAATACACTTGTGGGAAGATCAAGGAAGAGGGCAAACCTTTAACTTGAAGCTGCTAAGAAAAGGGTAGAGCTTTCCTAATAACTCCCTGAAGATCCCTCCCTAGGACCCAACTCTGAAGACATTTCTCCCCTCTCATACTGACCCTTATTCGTGTTAGTTCTCCTTATTTGTGTTCATGGACAACCCTGCAAGGGGCTAGACTTGGAACTAATCTTGCCAGAGGTCCAAGTCATAGAAGGAGGTAGTAGGAAGTGGAACAACTGATGGCCACAACCCCTCAGAGAGTGAGAGCAGCCATGCCATGCCTAGCCCTGAGAAGGTGACAAATGCTGAACTGACCAGAGTGCTGTAAGTGCATTGGAAATACACTTTGTGAATGGAAAATTATTCCAAAAGGATTTTATGTATGCAATTGTAACTACCAAGAACTGTCAGGAGTCAGTCCATGGACCTGCATTTTTTCAGTAATCCTGACACCCTGATGTGTCACCTAGGCTGCCAGACAGACAACCCTGCCTACTTAGTTGACGAAGGCAATAGGCTGTTTTTAAAGCATAGTAGCAGCAATGGTTCATTGGCTGCTCAGTATAAATGTCCATGGATTCTTTGCTTCTTTATGCTTATCTCTTGCCATGCCCTATTCCTGTTTTAGTCTTCCATGGTCTGCCCTTCCCTGCACTCAGTCTTGTTCTAGTTCAGTCCTGGCCTTGATTCTGCCTTAGAACCAGACCTGTTCCTGCTTTCTCCGACACTGGTAATCTGGTTCTAACCCTTTGTTCTGATTCCTGACTCCATCTCTGTCTCGAACTTGGCTGTGGTATTCAGGCTCTGAATTCAGTTCTGACTTTTGGTCCTACTTCTTGGATTCCTGTCTCAACTCTTAACTCTGGTATTTGGGCTCCAACCACTAGGCTACACTCTTGCTCTGACTACAAGGCCTCATTTTTGCTTCAACCTTGTCTCTTACAGGAAAACTATCATGGTAGGGATCTGTCTGAAAGGGGGAGAGATCAAAGTTCTGTTGTCCAGTGGTCAAGCATGTATTTTAAATCTTGTAGAGTATTCATATTGTACAGCATGGAATACTAAATAAATACCTAGAAATGAATTACTAAAGCCCTTGTTTTTAGCCTTTTGAAGGACCTTTCTGGTTTCTTTAAATTATTTTCCACATCTCCATCATTCAGCTGGACACAAGTGCCAAAGGCAGCAACTCTACATGAGTGTTGCATTTACTATAGTAGTTTTGACTATCTAGTTGAAAGAACCTAATCCAATGGTAGAATTCTAATTCTTTGTCATGCTGACTTTAAAACTGACCAAAATTCAAAACACATCTATTGTCTCCAGAAGAGGTTCTTGGTTGTGAAGCCAAGAAAGAATTAATATCTGCAGCAGAAGATTGGTTTGTCCATTTCTGGGTGGAAAAAGAAACAAGCTTGTCTAAGTCTGTCAAAGTGATTTATTAAATTATTAATGGGACAATTTGCCACCTTAACAAAAGAATTGGTTCTCTTTGTGTGTGCATCTGCAGATTTTGTTTCAGAAATAAGAAGTGAAAACAGCACAAAGAGACAAATTAAATGCTATTTTGTGCTGTTTTCTCTGCAGTAGTCAGTCCTTTAAAATAATCTGTTCCTGGAAGATTTCAGATGAGATATTGAAAGCCATCTTTCATATATTTATAGAGTTTAGGACCATAAGGGCACATCAGATCATTAGTCTGACCTCCTTTGTATCACAGGCTATTACATTTCACCCCTGTACTGAGCCTCGTTGACATTCAATTTACTTTGGATGTCCAGTTCCCATTAAAATGGCAATGGGGTTGTGAATTCTTTAGGTTTGCTTTGAAATTCTCAAATTTCCAGCCCATGTTTTATAGACTTAAAAAATTGTGGTACGTTTTAAGCCAAGATTATGTATCTCATGATCTGTGTAGCTTCAGTCAACTGCTGCTTGGAATGCTTAGTTCTCTCACTTTCATGTTCCAGCCATGTAGAACTCATTATCACTGGGGCAAGGCTAGTTTAAATCCAAGCTGGTCATTTACTTGGAAGTGCTGTGCACCAGTTTCAAAGTTTAGAGGTATGTGTCTAAACTTTAGTGGGGCAGATTATACCACATCTACCTACTCTGGGGTTTTACCATCTTCCTCCTAAAGCTTTTATTTCAGGTCAAGGTAAGAGATGATGGATATGGATCTGATTCAGTATGACTGTTCCTATGTGACTTTCCCTCAAATTCATTGGTATTAGGAATCAGAATTTTGACTTGGACTGCTCACTGATATTGAGATGTTAGTAATTGTATTTATTCATTTTTGTGTTCAGTTTAGTTGTGTCACTGTGAAGCTCTCTGTTTTATTTTTACAAGGACTTCCTCTACCTAGAGATCCTGTTTATATCACAATCTATTTGATAAATGGGTTTTCACACACATTGCCCATTCAGCACCTGTTTCGGGGTTGCATTGCCCCTTGAAGGGCTTTTAGTTGATGTAGCTGAATGCTAAGAGCAAACCTGAAAAGCTTATTTGCTGCTGGCTATTGGAACACTAATGATGGAGGTGAAGGGAGGGTGTTTCCTGGGTTTTAATGGGATGAGTAGATGGCTTATGGCATAGTTTTGGACCATTAACTATGCACAATGAGTCATTAAACCCCATGAAACGCACTGTTAGGGTCATTATTGCTATTATAACCTAAATATCTTTTGAAATCACTTTATACTGGTACCTTTTTAGGTGTATTTTTCCTGGAATTTCTCATTCTGTGTGTCTGAGTCCATTGATGATGATGATGCTGTTAAGCAGCACTGACATGTTTCAGACTTGATTCGTCACACAGTCACACTGTAGGTTGTGCTGATTCCTATTCATCACCGGTCCTTCCTCCAATCTCCTTTTAAAAACTGCTTTCTGGTGGAATTTGGCACAAAAGTCAGTGGTTGTATAAATAAGCTTTCACAAACCTAACACTAGTAGAAATTATTTTAAAATAAATGTTTTTGTTTAAATAAACATTTCAGCATGACTCATGGAATAAGTTGCTGTTCAACACATGTAAACTTAGAAAGCTGGGCATTATGGTTTTCATGATTTATATAGCACTATAACTGAACATGGCAGTTACAACTAGAGCTGGCTGAAACTCAGGATTTCTGGTTTGCAAGAACTTTTGGCATCTTGAAATTTGGTATCATTCCGATTTGGAACAAAGCCTTTTTTTTTTTTTAATTGTCACATACCAGAAATCTCCTCTTCCCTCCTCCCTTCCCAAATTGTTTCAGAAATACTGACACATGGTCCCTGATATCAACAACTTCTATATGAAATTGACATTTCATACAGCAGCTGTCAGGACACCTAGAGTCTGAGATTCCCGGACAGTCCCCCATCCAGTTTTCCTGGGGCTGGGGCTGTTTGAATGGCTGGACTGTAGCCACCAAACCCCCCCTCCCCCAAAGAAAAAATGGTACAGCAATTTAGAGGACTAGTTTCATACTTGGGAGACCAACGTCCAGTCTTCTGTTCTGCCACAGACTTTTTGTATGACCTTAGGCTTAGCCTCTCTGTATCTCAGTTGCCGGTCCATAAAATTGGGATAATAATTACCCCCAGGAGTATTATGAGGATAAAAACTAAGAATGGCTTTGAGATCCACTGACTGAAAAATTTTGATTGTGAATTACATAGTTTGTTTTTTTCCAGGAGCCCTGAGGTAGAATTGAAAGCCTAGACTCAGCGTTCTAGTGTGTGTTGTCTCCCAGAGTTACCACAGAGCCATAGAACCTAGAAGAATAGGGTCACAGACCCTAGGGCTATCCTGGAACTTTTAACCCTAGAAACCCGGGATACCTGGCCCCAGTGCAGGCCATGTGGCAGGGCTCCCCAAGAGCCCACTAGTCACAATGGCAGGGAACCAGGAAAGTTTCTAACAGAAACCCTGCCTATGGTTCAATGAAAGTCTTGCAACCTAACTCGCTTTCATGTGAAATTTCAGGTTCCATCCTTTTTCTTATAAAACAGAATATACCATCCAATCAGTTCTACTTGTAACCTGCAAAATTGAAAACATCCTAAATATTTCCTACCTGAAGTTGTCTTAATCTGATGAACTGAGATATCTTACTGCTTCAAAAAATAGATCCCTAGGCTGTTCTGCTGGATGCCATCTACTGCCCAGCCTTTCCCGCCCTGACATCTTCTCTGAGATCTAACAGACGTATGCACAGTTCATGTTGCTCTCAATGTGTCCAATTTCTCCTTTTGTCTTTACTCTAATTCCCTATCTTCTTCAGCCATGTCCATGACATTACAATTTCCCACTGAGTTCTGTCTGATTCCCCTTCTATGCCTTCTGTTGCTCCCTGCATTTCAACCATGCCTCCTCCCTTGTCCTGACCCCTCCCCTTGGACCTGTTTGCTGTTCAACTAGATCAAAGCCAAGGGTATTGTATTACAATGTGGTTATTCCCTGGAGTCATCAAAACATGGTAGTATTGTATAATGTAGGTGAGTCCTTCATTGTGTTCCATAGCTGGAGTAATACCTCTTTCACTTCAGCAGTGGTTTAACATCTTGCACTCTGGAGTTCATAATGGGAAAATATCCAAGAGTGTTTGTGGGCCTTGGGGTGGTGATGTTTTTAATGAGTGTCTATTGATAAACTAAAAGAACATAATTTGCTACTGGTGAGTCACACTTCTACAAAATTCAAGATGAACATGAAATAGACAATGTCATAAACATGTCAAAAAATCTCACACAATTCAGGGTATGTGCACCTACTGTTTCAAAATTCCATTGAGCAAGGATCCCCAGAACCTCATGTTCTGAAATAATTTTACATGAAACAAAATTTTCCCTCATAGAACCAGATCCTCAACTGGTATAAACTCTTACAGCTTCCTTGATTTAAGAGGAGCTAAACCACTTAACATCAGCTGAAATGTGATCTAGCCTGCAATGTATATCAGACTAAGAGATTTACCTGGTATTGCTCACTGTAAATCAATTACGTTTATTTTGGTTTTTGTTTTTTTAATAAAAGGAAAATGTATAAGCTTCATTTAAATTATTTATATTTTTTTAAAAAACACAACGTTATTTTTATGAACTTATTTTTTATTTCAGTTTTCTTTAAAAAGGGATTGTTAACATTTTTCAGTTTAATTTTTTAGTAGTTTTTTTAATGGGAATTCCAAGTTTATTTTTTATTCATCCCTATAAACTCTTACCATTTGCTATGTTTTAACAAAAAAGAGCTTTAGTCAATTTGGTTTCAAGTAATATTTTCTTCTAGTTTTCAAACCTTAAGCATTGATTTAGCAGTCCCAAAACAGAGCACTATTCCAGTTTTTTCTGTTTTCTCTCTTTTCTGTAAGCCTTATTGAGAAGCAATCTTAATTCAAGTTCATCCTATTTTTCTGGATCATCTTAGTTCACTAGCTCTCAACATTCTCTCAGTTATGTCAGTTTTGAGGCCGTACTTTTCTGTTTGGTTTTATGGGAAGCAATCCCATTCCAGGCACATCCTGTTTTTTCTGGCACAACCAAACCCTTATGATGCTTTATATTATGATAAGAGGAAGCTGTACACTGAATTTGGGTCTTACTGTTTAGGAGGAATTCTTGATCAAACACACAAACTCTAAAATGTACAGTAGATGTTCATATATAGTATAAATGGCCAGAAAGAAACAATTCCATTTATTGAAAAATATAGAGGTTTAACATTTTGTTGTGGTCCAGAACAAAAAAAGATTTTTTTTGTTAAAAAAAAGAAGAAAAAGATAGACACCTCTTTCCCAGAATGGCCAATAGCCTGTGGGAAGGGCACTCATCTGGAAGGTGAGAAGCCCTAGTTCAAGTATGAGCTTTATATGATTTAGGGCAGGATTTTGAAACTAGACTTCTTAGGTGAGTGTTTAGGAAAGTGACACAAAGCATGAGTTGAATCCAAGACCATTTTGGCTAATTGTCATTGATGGATGTATCCTTCATGATTTTTTTCTAATCCTTTTTGTTGATTATACTTTTGGCCTCCACAACATCCTACAGCTGTGAGTTCCACAGGTTAACAGTGGGTAGTTTGAAGAAGTACTTCCTTTTGTTTCTTTCAAAACTGCTGCCTATTCATTTCAGTGACTGACCCCAGGTTTTTAGGTCACATGAAGGGATAAATTACACTTTCTAAGAACATAGCAGCAGCTGTGCTGAGCCAGACCAAAGACATATCTAGCTCATAATCCTGCCTTCCAGCACTGGTCGATGCCAGGTGCCCTAGAGGGAATGAACAGAATCGTCAGTCATGAAGTGATCCATCCCCTGTCACCCATTCCTAGCCTTTGACAAACAGAGACTAAGAACACCATTCTTCATATCATTCATGATTTTATAAACCTCTATCATGCTATCCCATAATGGTTGTTTCTTTTCTATACTGAACAGTCCTAATCTTCTGAATCTATCCTACTATGGAAGCTGTTCCACACCCCTAATCATTTTAGTTTCCTTTCTCGGTACTTTCTCCCCTTCCATTTGAATATATATATATTTGAGATGGGGAGACCACAACTGCATACAATATTCAAGACATAGGTGTACAATAGATGTATAGAGTGGTATTCTGATACGCTGTCTTTTTACTTATCCTCTTTCTAATGGTTTCTAATGTTTTTTAGCTTTTTTCGACTGCTGCTGTACAGTGAGCGGATGTTTTTTAGATAACTCTCCCCAGTGACTCCAAGATCTTTACTGAGTTATAGCAGTTAACGTAGATCCCATTATAGGTTGAACCTCTGTGGTCCAGGACTCTCTGGTCTAGCAACATCTAGAGAGTCCCAGCCACAGAGGCTGTCAGTGGCTGGGAGCTCAGTCAGCAGGCAGCCTGAGGGCCAGTGGCCTGGGGGCAGGAAGCCCAACCAGCGGCTGGCAGCTGGAGCAGGACCAGGCGGGGAGCCCTGCTAGCTGAGAGTAGAGCTCCACATGCAAGGTCATGGAGCATCTGCTGGTGGGGTCATGGGAAGCACTCGCCAGTCAAGGATGCAAAATTGCTGCTGGCCGGGGGCAGAGAAGTCTCCACTGACTGGGGACAGGGAGTCCCTCTGGCTGGAGCAGAGGGGCAGCTGGGAGTGGAGCCCTGCCACTGACCAGCTCTGCTGGTCTGGCAAACACCCTACTTAAGGATCACTCAGGCCCCAAGGTTCCGCTGGACCAAGGAAGTTCAACCTGTATTTTGTATGGAGATAGTTGGGAATGTTTTCCAGCTACTTTTGCATTTACAACATTAAATTTCATCTGCCATGTTGTTACCCAGTCACCCAGTTTTGTATTACCATTTTTAACGGTTAGTTAAATCCTAAACAGACTACAATCCTGAGTAACTTTTGTATCATCTACAGACTGTGCCACCTCACTGTTCACTCCTTTTTCCACATCATTTATTAATATATTAAATAGCACTGATCCTGATACAGATCTTCGGGTGACACTTCTGTTTCCCTCTATCGATTTGAAAAACTGACCATTTTAGTCCTACTCTTTCTTGCTGATCTTTAACCAGCTACAGATCCATGAAAGGACATTCCCATTATCTCATGACTGCTTGGTTGCTTAAGAGCCTTTGGTAAGAAATCTTGTCAAAGACTTTCTGAAAGTCCAAGTACACTCCATCCTCTGGATAAGCCTTGTTCACATGTTGGTTGACCCTCTCAAGGAATTCACATTGTTTGGCGAGGCATGTTGACTCTTCCCCAACAAAACATGTATCTGATAATTCTATTCCATAGCTTCAATCAGTTTGCCTCCTACTGGAATTAGGTTTACTGGCCTGTAATTGTCAGGATCACCTCTGCAGCCTTTAAAAAAAAACAATCAGCATTACATTACCTATCTGTCAGTCATCTGGTACGGAGGCTGATAGTGGTGACTTTTAAACTGCTACTCTCCAACAGCAATAATTTCACTTTTGCTTTTTCGGTCATGCAGCTTTCTGGGAGACAAACTTCTCTCAAAGTAATACCTTCTCTTGCCCCTCTTCCCTTCCACTTGCTGCTTTCTATCACCATGAAATGACATAGTGGCATGTTGAAATGTGAGCTCCCTATCAGACTAGTTCTACGACTAATGATAGAGCTCTAAATCTGGTGCCTGCTAGCTTTGTGCACAATTTATATTGCTATCTGTAAAGTGCTTTTGTGCTTATGAAGAGTGTTACTGAAGAGCAGAAAACAATAACAAGTAGTCAGACTATAATGCTCATGAGCTACAACAGTCTGGGTTTTGTCTGTACTGAAAACATTTTCAAACCCAAAAGCAGTAATTAGCAATCTTCTGTTCTGGCCAGGCTTATTGTTAGTATACTAGGTAGTGGCATAATGGAAACTGACTGACCTCAGAGTCTCCCACTTCCTGTTGTCTGGAAAGGCAGCACAATTCATTAGTGAGTGTATCTAAAAGGTGACACTAAAGAGCAGTGCAGTATATTAAGATAATGGAATGGAAAAGCAATCAAAGAAGAAAGCTGCTGATGGAATTCACACAGTGGCTTCATCCCAGAGGAATAGGTTGTAAACTCTGCAGAATCTCAGTGGTTTTCTATGTAAACCCTCCCACATTTTTTTCTGCAGTGACTATTAGACCTAAATGGTGCTATCAGGTATAAAATGTGATGCAGGGGAGTATGCTAAACATAGA